TACATCATTTTCAGATGGGCCATTACTGCAAGTTCTGCTCTCGGGACTATTTCTTAAACTTCGAGTTACTGGTTTTGAAAATATCTTTGAAGTAAGAAATCCTGTTCATGGGTATGGATTTTGATAAACTGGGTTTCTGATTTCCTGTGAAGAGCAAAGAACAAGAAATGCCAACTCACATTGAGTCTTAGGGCTTGATTATCACTTAGCATATTAAAGGCATTCTCTTTTTTCCCTAAGTCTAGTAGCTGGTGAAGGGGAGATGCAGTATTTTTATTAGCAGTTCAGACAAACCAGAAGCAGTTGGTGCTGGAGGCTATCATGCTTAACCCTATATAATCCATTTTTCACACAGCAGCTAAAATAATTTTAAGCGAATAAATTAGATGATGTCATTTTCCTACTTAAACTTTAAAAGCTTCCCGTTGTGTTGAGAATAAAACCCAAACTCAAGAGACGCATTGGCTTTCTGCCTCTCGTTTCATTCTATCATTTAACATCATGGACCATCTTTTTGTGTCTTTTAAAATGCCAGACTCCTGTCTCAAGTCTTTTTGCACTTCATTTTCTGCCCTGGAGCTCTCTTCACATTGTTCAATAGCTGGTTTCTTATCTTCTGTCTTTGCCAAATACATCTCATTACAGTCCTATGTCTTTCGGTGATTTCATCATTGGGAACATCACAGTGTACTTACAAAAGCCTAGACGGTATAGCCTACTACTATTTGCCTAGGCTGTATGGTGTGGCCTATTGCTCCTAGGCTACAAAGCTGTACAGCATGTTACTATACTGAATACTGTAGGCAACTGTAACACACTGGTAAGTATTTGTGTATCTAAATATAACATACTGTGTATTATAGAAAAGGTAGAGTAAAAATATGATATAAAAGAAAAACAGTACACCTGTATAGGGTACTTAATGGAGTGGAGACTGTAGGACAGGAAACTGCTCTGGGTGAGTCAGTGAATGAATGTGAAGGCCCAGGAAATAACTACACGCTACTATAAATGCTGTACGCTTAAGCTATACTGCATTTATTTTATAAATATTTTTCTTAACCTTAATTTATGTAACTTTTACTTCATAAACTAATTTCTTTTTCTTTTTTTTTATGGGACAGAGTCTCGCTTTGTTGCCCAGGCTAGAGTGAGTGCCGTGGCGTCAGACTAGCTCACAGCAACCACAAACTCCTGGGCTCAAGCAATCCTTCTGCCTCAGCCTCCCGAGTAGCCGGGACTACAGGCATGCGCCACCATGCCCGGCTAATTTTTTCTATATATTTTTTTTTGTTGGCCAATTAATTTCTTTCTATTTTTAGTAGAGACGGCGTCTCGCTCTTGCTCAGGCTGGTTTCAAACTCCTGACCTCAAGCAATCCACCTGCCTCAGCCTCCCAGAGTGCTAGGATTACAGGCGTGAGCCACCACGCCAACCTCATAAACTGATTTCTTTAACTCTTGTAATAACTGCTTAAAACTCAAACATTGTACAGCAGTATAAAAATATTTTCTTTATATCCCTATTTTTTTAATTTTTTTTTTTTTTTTTTTTTCCCTTTTTTTAAAGTTTTTTTTTTTTTTTTATTTTTTTTTTTTTTTTTTTTTGAGACAGAGTCTCACTTTGTTGCCCAGGCTAGAGTGAGTGCCGTGGCGTCAGCCTAGCTCACAGCAACCACAAACTCCTGGGCTCAAGCAATCCTACTGCCTCAGCCTCCCGAGTAGCTGGGACTACAGGCATGCGCCACCATGCCCGGCTAATTTTTTGTATATATATTTTTAGTTGGTCAATTAATTTATTTCTATTTTTGATAGAGACGGAGGTCTCACTCAGGCTGGTTTCGAACTCCTGACCTTGAGCAATCCGCCCGCCTCGGCCTCCCAATGTGCTAGGATTACAGGCGTGAGCCACCACGCCTGGCCTTTTTTTACTTTTTAAACTTTTTTAATGCACAAACATACATTAGACTTACACAGGGTGAAGATCATCAAATCACTGTCTTCCACTTCCACATCATGTCCCACTAGAAGGTCTTAAGAGGCAATAATACATGGAGTTGTCATCTCCTATGATAACACTGAGTTTTTCTGAAATACCTCCTGAAGGACCTGTCTGAGGCTGTTTTACAGTTAACTTTATGTAAGTAGGAGTACACTCTAAGAAAGTATAGTTTAGTAAGTAAACCAGCAACATATTTATTATCAATATCAAGTATTATGTACTACACATAATTGTATGTGCTAGACTTTTATATGACAGGCAGCACAGTAGGTGGGTTTATACCAGCATCACCATAAACATTTGAGTAATGCATTGCACTACAACCTTACCACGGTTAGGATGTCACTGTGTGATAGGAATTTTTCAGCTCCACTTTAATCTTATGAGACCACCGTCATGTATGTGGTCCATTGTTGGCCAAAATGTCGTTATATGGTGCATGACTATTTACTTCATGCCTCTAATTCTGTTTTCTCCTTTGCCTTCCCTATCTGAATAAGCTCCATGAGAGCAGGCCAGTAGCTCCTCAACAGATATATATCAAGTGAAGGGATGGAGAAAATTGGGGGGAAAGAGGTCCTAAGGAATTTAAATATTTCTGATGGAAAGGGACTACCACCCTAAGGAACTTTTCCAGTAGGGATCTTACAAAGATGACTTTGGAGGGTGACAAGGGCAAAGGCAAAGCTTTCCCTGGGTGGGCTGCCTGTCATAAAAGTCTAGCACATACAATTATGTGTAGTACATAATACTTAATATTGATAACCCTTTCTCTAATCACTACTGCAAACTATACCCCCTATCCTCATCCTTCTCTTTACCTAGGAATGTGGCAAGGAATACTTCTTACATATCAACCTTTGAAAGAAAGGACATAATGGATTTACAGTGTTTTTGTTTTCCTAGCACCCCATCTCCCCTTTTAGTGTTAACCCCCAGTGAGCATATGCCAAAAGATGGGCCAATTATAGTACATCTCTCCCATTCTAAGGCAGTGGTTCTTGAGTGTGCATTAGATTCATCTACAGGTATTAAAACTCAGATTCCTGGGCCTCAGCCCCACCCTTTTTAGGTCTGGGTGGGGTTTGAGAATTTGTATTTCTAAAAAGTTACCAGGTGATGCTAATGCTACTGATCTGGGTACCATACTTTGAGAACCACTTGCTTAAAGGATGGACATTAGAGCCAAGCTAGACTAACTGTCCTTTACCTTATGTTTTTCATACTGGAGTTAGGGAAAGGAGCCCTTTGCTTTGCTGTTCAGAAGCTATACAGACATGAGGCCTAAACTGTTGTGTACCTCTGCCCCACAGAGAAGCCAGTTCAAGAAATAAATCTAGCACAGAAATAAACACAAGAGATGAAGCCTTAGTGGCCCCACTAGTGCCCCTGATTCAGTCACCTTCACACCAAACACTACTGCCTTTGCGCGGCATATGTGGGCCAATAAATTTACCTTCTTAGTACTATATATTATGGGCTTTGCTAGGCTATTTATTTACATGATTTCTTTTTATCCTCAGCAACCCTGTGAAGCAATTGGCATTAGGCCCCATTTTACATGAGAGTAAACTGATTCTCGAAGTGGTGAACTAGTTCAACTAAGTTGCATACAGTATTTTTATCCACTACCCCATGTAATTGACAGAACTTAAAACTTGTGGCCAAGCATGGTGGCGCATGCCTGTAGTCCTAGTTACTCAGGAGGCTGAGGCAGGAGGATCGCTTGAGCCCCGGAGTTGGAGGATGCGGTGAGCTATGCACTACACTCCAGCCTCGGCAACAGAGTAAAACCTTGTCCATAAAAAATAAATAAGCCTGGGTACTTTTAGTAAACCAGGCTTTTCTTATACTATGAATTTGCTCACAACCTGTTTTGCTGAGATAACTCCATAAAATCAACTCCAGCTCAGGAGGGACAAATTTTTGGCCCATGGATCACTTTGACCCATGTATATGATAATGTTTAGCCAAGCACTTGTGCTTAAAACTAAAAAAAATTTTTGCCTGTAGCATCATATGTTTCCAGTTTGCTAAGGTTTCCACTTTTCATTTTCTCATACAATGCCTTTTTTAGCATATGGTTTGCTACCCTTCAAACCTCAGTCCAGGCCTTCAGTTTTATACTTAGGGTAGTTGACTGAACTATTCCTATCCAAGTAGGGGTTTAGATCATGCCCTTTGTTCCATCATCCCTCAGTGATTTTATGAGCAAGTGCTGTTGCTGAAGGGTTTGTTCTTTTGGCTTTTTCCAAGTCAGAACCATGCCACACAAACATGCTCCATGTGTTCCCAGCCAAGGATTTCCAGTGGTTATTAGCCAGTATTGCTTCCATCCTTAACAGTGGCCCAAGAGCCAGTATAAGTCAGGTCCAACTTTAAAGTGAATTTTACGATTTGACCAGCAGTGTAGCAAAGCATGGGCTTTAGAATTCAGCTGCGTGACTCCAAATCTTTCTACTGCAAAATGGCTGAACTTGCCTAAATTATTTAAACTTTGTCTCAGTTTTCTCATCTGTACAATGGCAACAATAGTCCCTATTTCACAGGGTAGTTGAGAGGATTACATAAATGTAAAGTGCTTAGACTATCAACTGGTTGATAGTGAGCACTTAATATTCGCTTTTATTCTTCCCAGAGAATATGGTGTCTAATGTTCGGAAGTGTTAAGGCAAAGAAAAAAACCAATTGTCACTTGTGAGGTATTAGCTGTAATGTCTCTGATTAAACTTAAATGTCAACTTTTAGCAAACCCTCAGTAATTAATTATGTGCTTCCCCACAGGGCTCTATTCACATTTTGTCACTTAACAGTTGACTTTATACAGTGGAAGCAGCCATAGATTGCTTTAGAAATGGATTTTTCAAGCCCCTACATGAGGTTTCTCATTTGTGGACTTACCCTACTGGTCAGTAACAAACTTTGCTCTAGCTTTCAAAGGAGCTATGCTAACCCAAGTGGAAAGGCACTTTGGAAAGATACATCTGGGGTGAGCATAAGAAGTTCCTATTTGCTGCTTGGATTTTGGAATCCAGACAACTCATTTATTACTGAATTAGTGTGATGAAACTAAGAACACAAGGAAATAGTTGTTGTAAAAGGACCCTGTTAGGCTTTAAATTGGAAGCAAACACGAAAAAGACTATTACCAACTCCCAATCATCTTATAAGAAATGAACTTGGGAGTAACTTCAGAGAAAACTGCCTGGATTTGATTACCTTGTTGAATGTTTCTAGCACTGAGCAGGCTTGGGCTTTCTGAAAACCTAGTGCCATTCTTCAGTTGCTGGAATCTCCCAGCTGGACTGCAGCCAAATCTTGGGTAGATGTTGGCCTTTTAGGGTCCTGGCTTTGATAGCAGGTCATGGCTTTTTGCTGTGAATGACGATAACTGCCTTGGAAACTCTCCCATTCTGACTCAAGAGATAAGTAATAGGGAAACCTGCCAACATATGGGAGAGCTGATAGGGACCCACATGCTACTAGAAGGCTCCCTGCCAGTCTGAGGGCCTGTAACCAGTGAGAGGCTGAGGTAGACTGCCCATTGCCCAGGGTCTGTTCTGATTATGTTACACTCTTGCTACTTCCCTAACAACTGAGTTTGTGTGGTACAGGATTTACACTTTGTCTAAATGAGAATTACTTGCTCTCTGGGTGTCCAGGACACTGTAGAGCCCCTGTTTAAGGAAGCCTATTATTTTTGGCTGGACTGCTTGGGGACACAAGGCTTTGACAGAAAGGTAGGGAGGTATATCTGTTGCCTCATTTTGAAGATGAAAACCCAGAAACAGAAACTGTAGAGAACAGGAAAGAGCCTTAATACAGTCCAAACTGCTAATTTTTAGAGGATCTGTGACTTGCTCAAGGTCAACCTGAAAATCAGTAGCAAAGTCAGGACTAGAATTCAGGTCTCCATATTTCCAGGCCAAAACTGTCCACCTGGTCAGCTGCCTCTCCAGGGCAGATGTGCTGGGAAGTTCTGCACTATTAAAGAAGCAATGACCAGAAATAACTCAAGACACCCATGATGGAATTTTCACTTTCAAAGCTCCCTGCATAGGATATGTTGGTGTTAGAAACTCAATGTTTTTTACTCTTCTTGACATAAATGTTTTTGATAGATAATCTCAGAAGTTGCAGGTGGAAAGCAGAAGCACCTGAAATGAATGTTGTAATGAAGGAAGTCTTTTGTAAACTGAAAATTTTCAAATTACATGTTTAGTAACATCCTGTGTTCTATGCTGCTTTGATACAGCAGCAGGCAGCATCCTAACGTGTGGGGAAGCCACAAAAGCCCACCCTCCTTCCACAGCCTGTTTCTAATCGCCTCCTCACCTTGTCTTACTCAGAATCCAGGCTTTGGAAAACAGAGAGCTTGTAAAGCAATCATTTTCTATGGAGAGCATTTTTTGGTTTTTGTCTTTTTTTTTTTGTCTAGCTCTGACAAAATGAGAGCGATTTATTTCATAGCATTTCTACTGTGACAGTACTCAGTTCAAAAGATGATCTTGGATGAGGGTTTTTTGCTTCTTTTTCCTAATGAGAATATGTTTTGCCTAAAACCCACGACTTCATTCAGTATCACTCCTAGGGTTGACTATATTTTAATATGTTTACCCGGGCCCTGGCAGATGCTCGTGTTTGCTGAATACAGCAATGCTGGAAGACTGGAAAAGTTGACTGTAGTTTATCTCTTCTAGACATTGCATTCATCCATTTGGGGAGCCGCGTTTTCACAGATGTATATTTTTTACTGTGTACCTGATTTTGCTTCCAGGCAAATGGTTAAGTTGAAGTGTGCTGAAATTAGAATGTGAATGGTAAAACTTGATTTTGGTCCCAGAACTTGCATTGTCACTTTAACAGTCTCAGATGTTGCAAATTCATGTGCTTTTAAGGTAATATAAGTGTTTAGATTCTACTTAGCTCCAGCTGATTGTTGTCTTGTGGGAATGAGGCTAAATGTTGGCCACGTTTTTTTGTTTGTGTGTTTTTAATTAGAAGCCAGAGACCAGATTCATTTGTGAAATCTCCCCTTTTGTAAATATTGGTAACTGATTCAAAAATGTTTATTTTTGAGACAGGGTTTTGCTCTGTCACCCAGTGGTGCTATCACAGCTCAATGCAACCTTGAACTCCACTCCCACTCGGCCTCCCAACGTGCTGGGATTATTTATAGGCGTGAGCCACTGCAACCAGCCTCAAATATGTTTAAAACATTTTGTTGTCTAAATGAAACATACATGGGCCATGTGGCTTCTGATCAAGACTTTTTGCCTTTCCTAAGAATTCAAGCAACACATATTTTACTGAAATAAATGTTGCATGATCTCTTAAGTGTATAAATTTTATAATTTAAATATCTCCTTTCTCTTAACTGAAAAATCTAACACATATACAACAGGCCAAAAATAACCATTCTATTTCTAAGAAAAATGCTGTCAGTAAATGAATGTACCTTAGAGCAAAGTACAGAGGATTTTTATGTTCCATAAATTATTCCCATTGGTTTCAGTTTGGCGTACAACAAGGACGCAGACTGGTTTCTGAGAACCTCCCCTTTGCCCCCTCCCCCCAGTGCCAGGCTTTGGCACAGAAAGGGCCACATGGCTCCTCCATCAGGCCTTGGCATCTTCAGTCCCTACTGGTGGAGACTGATTTTTCTACAGATAGGCTCAAGTTTTATCTCACACATGCTTGATTTTAAATTGGGAAGTTATAAAGGGTGTGAAATGAAGTGTGAGAAGTATGGTGGTGGGTGTCTGTGTGCATGCTTGGTGCCCAACCCCTAGAAGCATCAAAGCCTGAGGCTCAGACTCTCCTGAGCATTGCCCAGGTCCTCTGAAAGGAAGGTCTTTCCAGTCCCAGAAGCTGGGAATTTGCTGAAGTTTGAAAAGCAATTTGCCCTTTGGCTTCCTATGAAGAGATTTATCTCCAGATTGTGAAGGGTGAAAACAAAGATTTACAGGTGGTTGGTTTGTGTGGTTTTTTTTTTTTTTTTTTTTTAAGCCAACTATGATCCCATCAATGTATTTCTAAGGAAAATGTAAACTGTTCATACATTCTCTTAAACATCACAGTGAAAAACAAGTACCCGTATGTGTGATAGGGCAGGCAGAGGGCTCCACCTGCTCTGCCCTTGGCAAAGGCCCTTGGCCACACTGGTGAAAATGCCGGCTTGGCTTCTGCATGGGTATCCATGTTGTGCCATCCCACGGGAGCACCGGTGGACCCCAAAGGCAGGGCAGGACAGGGGGAGAGGATCTTTTGAAATGTTTCCAGTAGCTCTGTCCAGCTGTCTCAGTTTGTCTTCCAGCCTGGGATGCCGCACAAAGCTACAAGGACACTGATGAGACCACGGATCTATTGCCATTCTCCAGGGAAGATTTGGCTTGGAGTGTGGCTGCCTGGATTCGAAAATGTGTCCTTGACTCCATGGAATAATTCTTGTAGTTTTGCCTGGAAGTGAGCAGAGAATCAGAGATGTGAGGCTGCTTGCTCCCACAAGTCCTTTTCTTCAGTTTGAGCAGTGTGAGCCCCACCCTCTGCCATATCCAAAAAGAGTTGAGTGGCCTGGAATGGTGACTCACGCCTGTAATCACAGCACTTTGGGAGGATTGCTTGAGGCCAAGAACTCAAGACCAGCCTAGGTAATATAGCAAGACCTGATTTATTTTTTTTTAAATTTTCAAAATTAGCTGGGAGTGGTGGTATATGGCTGTAGTCCCAGCTACTCAGGAGGCTGATGCAGGAGAATTGCTTGAGCCCAGGAGTTTGGGGTTTCTGTGAGCTACAGTGACACCAATGCACTCTAGCCTGGGCAACAGAGTAATACCGTCTCAAAAAAAAAAAGTTAAGCCCCACCCAATGGGAAGATTAACCTTAAGGGAAAGGGTTTATAGCCCCTCACCCCTGGTATGATGCCCACTGATACCACTCTTGGTCCTGTTGAGTACCTACGTTTGAAGGGGTAGTTTTGGGAGATAGATTTCTGGACTAGGAGGCAGGAGACCTGGGTCCTAAAACCAGCAGTGCAGCTCCTTTGTGACGTGACCCTGGGCAAGTCACTTCCTGCCTCTGGGATTCTAATTGCTCATTTGTAAATGAAGAGGAAGACTTCCTATGCCAGGTGATAACCAAGTTCCCAAGGATGCAGGTCCACTCTCTGCACAGCCATACTGCCCTTGCCACTCACTGCTGCTTGGGCTTCTGTCCTGAGCTGAGCTCAGAGGAGCAAAGGACAGATTGAGGCTCCCCAAGCCTTACTTGGCAGATTCCAGGAGTTTGATGGCCTCTTCATTTCTGCCTTGCTCCATAAACAGCAGGGCCAGCTCCAGCAGGGCATTTGGGATCAAGTAGTGGTCATATTTAATCTTCTTTTCACTGCAGAACAGAGGAGGACATGGGTCACAGGCTTTGCCCTTGAGACATCCTTCAGTTCCTCTTCCTGAGCCTTCCCCAAACTTCATGTGAGGATTTCCTGATCTGAATTTCAATTTTGAAAGGTTCCTACTACCTAGCACTAGAAAGGCTGGGATCCATGGAAGAATCTTCCAGTCTTGTATCCTGGGCCCCAATTCCCTGACAGCCTATATGGTTCCTGTCATGTCCTTAGCCCACCCTCGCCTAAGCCCCAACCCTGCTTTTCTCCATGTTGAATGGTTTATTAAATTGGAAAATCTTTCTCTGATCTGGCCCCTTTCTGACCTGCCCTCCATGCTCCCTCGGAGACATCTTTTTAAAACCCATGTCTGGTCGACACAGTGGCTCACACCTGTGATCCCAGCACTTTGGGAGGCAGAGGTGGGAAGACCATTTGAGCCCAGGAGTTCAAGACTATCTTGGGCAACATAACAAGACCCCGTCTCCACAAAAAAATTAAAAAAATAAAAATTAGCTGGGCATGGTGGTGCACACCTGTGGTCCCAGCTACTCAGGAAGCTGAGGCAGGAGGATCATTGGAGCTCAGGAATTTGAGGTTACAGTGAGCTATGATCACACCATTGCACTTCAGGCTGGGGAACAGAGCAAGACCCTGTACCAAAAAAAATACAAAAAAACCCCAAGTCTGCCCTACCTGGTCTCCTTCCTTGTTGTCTCCTATCTGTGGGATAAAGTTTGGCCTTGTGAACAAAACACAAGGCCCTTCTCAGTCTAGCCCTCCTCATTTCATCTTCAGCACAGGCAGGGAAGGGCCTAATCGCCATCACCCCAACCTCAGGAGTCTTTCCTATGTCCAGGCATTTGCACGTGCTGTACCTGCTCCACTCCCTGCTTTCTCTGCTTGATAAACTTCCCAATTTAAATGTTGGCTCTGAAAAGCCTTTCCTGGTACCTCCCATTATGTTTAGGTCCCTCCTCAAGGCACCTACTGTCCTCTCGGCCTTCCTCTAGCACAGCCTTGGTCATCCTAGGTTGAGCCGCCCATAGCCAGCCTTCTGCGGCACGTGCACTGCCAAAGGCAGGGCAGAGTCGCTGACGCACACAGTCTGGGGGGACTGTTCACTTGAAACAACATGGGTGGGCTCCTGTAGTCAGGCAATTTGGTGGCCCTGGGCGGCTCGGTCTGAGTTAGCTGTGCCCAGCCCAGGTCCTGGCACAGAGTACACAGGTACGTGTGTGGTGACCGGGGTTGGCACAGGTCAGCCACTGCAGTGGGCGTGAGGATGGAGAAGCACTGACAATTCCACCCAGGAGACCCGGGCGCAGCAGGAGCAGCCACAGAGGCACTTACTTGGCAGATATGATCCTGAAATTCTCCTCGGCCTCTTGGACACGGCCCAGGTATTTCAGACACAGGCCTTTCAACAGTTTCACCAAGCACTCGTCATCCACTGAGTATTCATTCTCTGAAAATAGGGATGTGAGGGAAGAAGACAGGCTTGCTCATTTCTGCAGCAAATATGCACGGAGCCACTACTCTGTGCTGAGCCCAGAGGACACAGGTAAATCAGACTTGGTCCCTATTCTCAGGGGGCTCACATCTGAGAAGGAAAGGCAGACACTGAGACAATGACTGAAGGAAGCCCAGGGGCTGTGAGAGCCCAAAGGAGGCTTTGACCCTACCTATGGGACAAGGGCCAGCTGCTTGGAAGAGCTGACATTGGAGCTCAGTCTAGAAAGACAAAGAACAGTTACCAGGAGAGAAGGGAGGAAGGATATTTTGGCAAAGGGAACCTTCAACTGTGAAGACATGACCTAGCCTGGCAAGTTCTGGGGCCTGAATGTAGTCACCTGGGCCTTTTTCCAGCATCTCTTCAGCTTTGGTGATAATCTCAAGGATCCCATCTGTGAGTTCCGGCTGCTTCCCAATCACAGCATAGCCATTCCAGATGTACATCATTTCCTGAGGGCAGGGGGGCAAGTCAGTCCTAGGTTTCTTCCCCAGTGGGGCCTCAGTTTTCCCACCTGGAAAATGGGCAGCTCAGATCAGAGGATCACTAAAGGCCCTTCTGGCTCTAATTGTCCATGACAAGTCTCAGCCCAGCCTGTAAAGCTATGAGCTCAAGGAGATTAAGATGGAGCCTCGTCACTTATTACTGAGATCTTGCCTTACCCCAGTGAGGATTTCACATGGATCAATGTCCTCACTGTTCTGTTCAGAGCTGCCAATACTTTCCAGCTACTTTTCTGCTCTTCGCTTCCCTACGTACTATTATGCCCTTTTTCCTAATCTCTGTGTGCGAACTTTTCCATCCTTTGAAGACCAGGCCATGCCCCACATTCTCCAGGAAGCTCTTCTCCGTCTCCAGCTGGCAGGGCCTCCTACCATATTGGAGGAACCATAATTTACTTAAGCACTTCAGGACAACACAGTTTAAGACTATGTCCTCTTCTCTCCTATTTCCCCAAAACAATGGGCTCAAAAATGACAACTCATATTCCATTTCTTTTAGACTTACCATCATGAAAACCATAAAACATATCCTGATTCCTTTTTTTGTCTGGACTGCCAGGAAGCTCAGAATACTCAACTAAAGTTTCATTCATAGTAACCCTGTTAGCTTAACACATTGACTGCCACATTATGGAAAAGAAAAAAAATTTCCCTGGGGCAACCATGTTTTATTAAAACAAAATGATCCTTTCTAATTTATTATTTTTTATTGTTTTCTGTGCATGAGTTATATGCAATGCACTCCATGCTTTTAGAATTAAATTGCCAATATTAATTGTAACAATAAGAACATCAAAAAGATTTCACAGGCCAACTGTAGGGTTTTGCTTCACAAGGCCCTGGGCTCAAAACTAGTATAAGTTAAATATAACTCACATGGCAGTTAATGTGTTAAATCACCATTTCCTAAACTATCAAACCACGTATTGGATATGAAAGTGCTTTGTATAAAGTTCTAGAAATACATTATTGTTGAGGTTCTTTTTTTTTTTTTTTTTTTTTTTTTTTTTATTTTACAACTTGCCAAGTTATAGGTTCTTGTTATTATGTTCTAGGAAGGAAATTTAAATTTAAACCAGTATTTCTCAAATTGTTCTGTGGTCCCGAGTTAGCAAATCTTTTGTTTTTAAAAAAAGGGTTCTGTGGCCAAACAAGGTAGGAAAAAACCTCATATTTCAGCTTCCTGGAGACTCACCATGCAAATTAGGATATAGAGGCTCCAAGAAAGTCTACAGTATATAAACTTTGTTTAGGCCAGTCTTTCCCAAATATACTAATCACATAAATCACTTCATGCATAAACAGTATTTTGCAGATTAAAGTTTGGGAAATTCTCCCCTAAATTTTTAGTATAGTTACTTCCCTCCCCTTCTTAAAATATCCTCTTCTCCCATTTGGTAGTAACAGCTTTACTGTATATTTTAATTTTTTGTTTGTTTGTTTTTTGAGACAGAGTCTTACTCTGTTGCCTGGGCTAGAGGCAAACAAGCTTTTGTTTATGTAAATTATATCTGTCAATATTTATCATATTAGAAATCAAAACTTCTGGGCCTCTCATAGTGTCCCATGCTAGAGCAAACTGTGGCCCCGAACCATTGCCTGGCCTGTGCCAGTAGGCTGCTGGCACTGAAGTGGGTTGCACAGTGGGTTAAAGAAAAAAAAAAAAAAAAAAAAAAAAAAAAAAAAAAAAAAAAAAGAAATCAAAACTGAGGGTCAGGTGTGGTGGCTCACACCTATAATCCCAGCACTGTGGGAGATTGCGGTGGGAGGATTGCCTAAGGCCAAGAGTTTGAGACTAACCTGAACAACAGCAAGATTCTCATCTCTACAAAAGAAAAAAAAATTTTTTTGTGAGACAGAGTCTCACTCTTTTCCCGGGGTAGAGTGACATGGCGTCAGCCTAGCTCACAGCAACCTCAAACGCCTGGGCTCAGGTAATCCTTCTGCCTCAACTTCCTGAGTAGCTGGGACTACAGGCATGTACCACCATGCCTGGCTAATTTTTTTCTATATATATTTTTAGTTGGTCAATTAATTTCTTGCTATTTTTAGTAGAGACGGGGGTCTCGCTCCTGCTCAGGCTGATTTCGAACTCCTGACCTTGAGTGATCTGCCTGCCTTGGCCTCCCAGAGTGCTAGGATTACAGGCATGAGCCACCGTACCCGGCCAATATACTGTATGTTTTAAACAATAAAATACTTTAAAATTTGTTTAGAAATATTAAGGATATAAGCTCTAAATAAAATTCTATATAAATATGAACTTTTCAATTTATAAAGTATTTAACACATTTTCTCAGTTGATTCTCACAACTGTTCCATGAAATGGGAAAAGTATATATTATTATACCCATTTTGCATTAAGGGAAGAGGGAATCTATGTAAGGCTACACAATTAGAAAATAGAGCCAGGACCAGAAAAAGGTCTCCGAAGCAAAGCTTCTACTTTTCTGGCTGCTTTATTATTTGAATAATAAGGACTCTTAACAAACTGGAATGTTATCTGATGCCTGCTCAAATCATGCATGAAATTTTAGCATCATAATGGCTCAGAATATGGGTTCTGAAGCCAAACTGCTGAGTTCAAATTCTGACTCTCCAACTCACTAGCTGTGTGACCTGAACTGTATTATTATTATTATTATTTTTTGAGACAGAGTCTCACTTTTGTTGCCCTGGCTAGAGTGAGTGCCGTGGCGTCAGCCTAGCTCACAGCAACCTCAAACTCCTCTTGGGCTCAAGCGATCCTCCTGCCTCAGCCTCCCGCGATCCTCCTGCCTCAGCCTCCCAAGTAGCTGGGACTACAGGCATGCACCACCATGCCCGGCTAATATTTTGTGTATATATTTTTAGTTGGTCAATTAATTTCTTTCTATTTTTAGTAGAGACGGGGTCTCGCTCAGGTTGGTTTCGAACTCCCGACCTCGAGCAATCCGCCCGCCTCGGCCTCCCAGAGTGCTAGGATTACAGGCGTGAGCCACCGCGCCCGGCCCTGAACTGTATTATTTTAATCTTTCTGCTTATCTATGAGGCCTTAGTAGCCCCACCTGTAAACTGGAGATACCACTAGCCCTACTCAGAGGGTTGATGAAAGGTCCAAATGAGGCAATAGGCAATATAGCAAGTGTCCAGTAACAATGTTGGCTATTACTTACTATTAGTTCAGAGTCAAATATAACACGAAAAGGTTGGTCACATGAAGGAAACAGTTATAATCATCTGCTTCATAAACACTGAAGCAGAATGGCTGGAAACACAGCCAGCCAGGTGGTACCCCTTTCTGAGCACAGGGGCATGGGCCTGTCCAGGAGAGCTGCTCTTTCTAACCCCTGGTATCTGCACTTGCTCACCTGTCTCTTCTCCACCCCCACACTCAGTGGACCATCACTTTCACTTTCTTTTTTTTGTCTTTTTTAGAGACAGGGTCTCACTCCGTGGCCTATGCTGCTAGAGTACAGTGGCACCATCATAGCTCACTGCAGCCTTGAACTCAAGCGATCCTCCTGCCTCAGCCTCCTAAGCAGCTGGAACTATAGGCCACCACTTCTGGCTAATTTTTAAATTTTTTTTTTAGAGACAGGGTTTTGCTATGTTGCTCAGGCTGGTCTCAAACTTCTGGCTTCAAGAGATCCTCCCACCTTGGCCTCCTAAAATGCTAGAATTACAGATGTGAGCCATGATGGCCCTGGACCATCACTTTCTAAGGGGCAAGGGCTGAGTCAGACTCATCTGTGTTCCTCCTTCCCAGGGCCCAGGCAAATTGTAAAATTCTCTCCAGGACCAAGGCATGAAGGCCTTTCTCCTCATCCACTTCAGTGGCTCTCAACTAATCCCCACAATCCTAAACCAGAGAGCAGGACCCAGTCCAGACCTTCCTACCCACCAGAGCAGGGACTGGCAAGGAGATAGGGTTGGAGGAGAGGTAGCGTCTGGACTTCCGGATGGCAAACTTCTCTGTGGGCAGAGATTTCCCAGCAATCTTGAGCTTCAGGCCTGGCACAGCTCTGCAAAAGAGATGGGGAGGGTAAGGAGAGGATAAGAAAAAGCAAGAGAGGACTGAGAGTCCCCATCCTACCCAGCCTCTGCTTGGCCCTTCTCTGGGCCTGCTTCCCCACCCGTATGATGAGTGTTGGACTCTAAAGAGCCTTATAGGCCTGAAACAGCCTGTGTCTATGGTCTTATTTCACAGGCCCTGCTCAAGACCTGGCCACTTCCTGTGGCTGGACAAGGGGCTCTTCCACACCAGCTGGCAGAGGTGAGAGTGCACCTAAATGTCCCTAGGCCTGCTCTGCCTCCTACTTCCACTTCTCTCTTCCACCCCCAGGCCCTATTTTTGGGGAGGGCCCTATGGAAGTCTAAACCCATTTTCATAGGGGAGACCAATACCCAGAGAAAGGGTGGGACCTATCCACCCTTTATTAACTCAAACCCTTAATTAACTCTTGCCTCGTGAGCTGTGGCCTTCTCAGCTGTTTCCAAGGGCAAAGCAAAATATATGGAATGCAGCTAGGTGAGCCTCCACATCTGGGACCTCACCCACCCAACTCCATCCCACCTTCCTCTGATTTCTGCCACAGTCACCAGGTGTGGCTGTGACCTCAGGCCTGAGTCATTTAGCCTCAGGAAATAGCTAAATGTAGGTGTGAGGTCCCCACAAACTGCTTTTTTACTGTGGAACCTCTCTGGTCCTCAATTTCCTCATCTTTAAAGTAGAGATGACACCCACCCTCCCTCACAAGGCTTTCTTAAAGAGTTATATGAGATGGGGACATGGAGTTCACTGTAGTAGCAGGCACTCCATAAGTGATAAATGCCCTATTACTGTGACAGCAGGAGCCTATGAAGCTCATATGACACCAACTTCCAGGTCTGCAAATTGGGGCCAACCCCACCTTGACAGGAGGAAGGCTCTAGGCTCCATCCTCAGCCTGCCAAGGCTGATGTGCTCTAGCAATCTTTTACAGGAGGTAAACACAGTGGTACAGATAAGAATGAAAACAGCCACCACTTGGCAAGCAGCTTACTAAGTTCCAGGTCCTATGACAGATTCTTTAAATATATTATCTAGTTGATTCACAAAACAACCTTGCAAGGTGAAGGTTGTTATTCCTATTTTACAGTTGATGAAATTCTCCCAAGTGACATAGCAAGCAAATGGTAGAGGCTTGGTTTAATTCTGCCTGTTTGATTCTAACTCTTGGGCTCTCTGCTGTGCTTCTCTGAGTGAATCTGGTTAACTCAGCAGAACGAAGGACCTTTCCGGACCTCAGAGTTCACATCTGTCCCACTGAACAGATGAAAGAGACTCAGTGGTAGAGGATGTTGACAAAACCACTTCTGTGAAAGAAAACCTCTGAACAGATTCAAAGGGCTCTAACCAGCAGCTGCAGCAGCATGGGGTGGTGATGGGAGGGGATGACGAGCACATGGGGCAATCCTGGGGCAGGGGCAGGCAGCTCAGAGCCAGGGGAGATGACCACCCTCCCTCCCCCTCCCTGGCACCCAGAGTCAGGGTGGCTGTGGGCAGAGCCTGGCTGGTCTGTCCACAGCGGAGGCCTGTGATGGGAGTGTGATGGTAGGACCCACCTAAATAACTCCACTTCGTCATCCCCGAAAGGCTTGTAGTCCTCCTTCCCAAACATGCTGAGGTAGGCGGCCTTCATGTAGATGTAGGTGGCCTGTGTGAGGCAGAGCAACAGCCAGGTGTGAGCGGCCCTGCCCCAGCCGCCGCCAGCACGGCACCAACGCCCCACGCAGACCTCACTGGCCCAGGCCGGCAGCCCACGCCGCCCGCCCCAGGCCCCCCGCGGGAAACTGAGGTGAGGAAGCTGATGCCACCGGAGGAGTCGAGCTGGGAGTTAAATCCAGGACAAGCCATGTCAAAGCAGCCACTCTCTCCCCTTGGAGCAGGGCAGAGAAAGACTCAAGCGGCCAGTGATGGGCAGGACACGCGAGGCTGGCATGGAGACAGGCCGGGGACAGCACTCGGGCTCCCGGGAAGCAAGAGCTCCAGAGTGGGCTCCTGACGACCCACGGGAAGTCACAGAGGCCCCAGAAAGGGGCACAGCCTGAGCAAAGCCAGGGAGGGGCAGGGGCTGTGTAGGTGGGACACCGAGGAGCGGCACGAAGCTCCCGCGGCATAAAAGAGGAGGTGAGACCGGAAGAATGAGCAGGGCCCTGGGGCTCGCTCGGCTCAGGCCTCCTGGGGAGAACTGTCTTACTGTGTGCCAGGCACCTCACATCCGGCACACTCGATCCCAAAGACGGCGCCACGTCCGCTCCCTGGGACCCCAGAGCTACAGGGGCAGAGCTGGGAGTCGACCGCAGGACCTGGCCCACTGGACCCACGACCCGCCCTGACGGGTGAGGTGCGGCCGGCAGCAGGCCCCGCCCCGCCTTCCCCGACACCACGCCCCTTCCGCGGGCGGCCCCGGAGGGGAGCTGGCTCTGTGCTGCCCTCCAGTGGCCGAGCCCTGAACCACAGCTCCTGCCTCCAGGCTGAGAGAAGAGGGAGGGTGGCGGAGTAGAGGGACCAGGACATCCTGGAGTCTGGTCTCCACCTGGCAGCCTCACCCACGCAGGCCTTTATAACACGAGGAGAAGCTAGTCTTTGTGGGCTACGGTGGGAAGTGCCTCCCTCACTGAAACCTGTTCCCCGTCCCTTTTTTGTTTTTGAGACAGAGTCTCTGTTGCCCAGGCTAGAGTGCCGTGGCATCAGCCTAGCTCACAGCAACCTCAACCTCCTGGGCTCAAGCAATCCTCCTGCCTCAGCCTCCCGAGCAGCTGGGACTACAGGCATGCACCACCATGCCTGGCTAATTTTTTCTATATATTTTTAGTTGTCCAGCTAATTTCTTTCTATTTTTTTAGTAGAGACAGGGTCTCACTCTTGCTGTGGCTCCTCACGAACTCCTGAGCTCAAACGATCCTCCTGCCTTGGCCTCCCAGAGTGCTCGGATTACAGGTGTGAGCCACCACGCCCAGCCATATGGGGTGATCAGGAAAGGCCTTCCAGAGGAGGGGACACCTGAGTCTAGTATTAAAGGGCAAGTGGAAGGCATATTTGAAGAAAGCAAGAAAGGGTTTCTTGGCAGAGAGAATGCCATGAGCAAATACTCAGGGGCCCAGCCCCCCATCCCACCTTGAACCTCCTGGTGTCGGTGTCGCCTCGCTCTTGCCCTCTCCTTCTCATCTGCCCCTGCCATGGAGGCACCAAATCCTAGTGGCTTTACCTCCTGTCTAGCTCCTGAATGCCACTAACTAGCCTTGCCCCTGAGACTCTCTTCATGATCACCCCACCATCATCTCCACACCGTCTAGCTGCTCCAGGCTACCAGGGACGTCTGCCTACTGCCCTGGGGAGGTCTGGGATCTGCCTGCTCCCGCTCCCATCCACTGCAAGCCATTTCCCACACCTTCACCACTCTGATCTTTTTAAGTCAGATCACATCAGTGCCTTCTGGAAAACTGGTGATATCACATCACACTTAGGATAAAATCCAAACCAGACTGTGTACAGTCCCCGCCCCACACGTACATCGCTCCCTCCAGCCAGCCAGCATAGCATCATTCCAGCCTCACTGACCTCCAGCTGTCCCTAGAATACATCAAATGCAGTCCTGCCTAGCCCTGTGTCCCACAGCTCCCTCTGCTTGAACGTCCCCTTCAGATGGCCACCCACATGCTTGCTCCTTCACTCCACCTGGGTGCCTTCTGCCAGGCCTGGCCACCCCAGACAAAAGAGCCCCCCACTCTCTGCCCCTCGCCTTGCTTGGTCCCTACTGCACTTACTGGAACCTGGCATCGTATTATACTGGACATCAACATGTGTGTTCCTTGTCTCTTTCTCCACCAGGACTGGAACCTTTAGATGGCTCTTTGCTCTGTGCACTCTTATATTTCCTGGCCTAGAAGAGGACCTGACATGTTGGGTGCCCAGAAATTGCAGGTGGGATTTCCAAAGCACAAATCTAAACCCCAAGCCTTCAAGGCTCCCCTACTGTTAGAATAAAGCCCAAACAACCATCCACGCCCCCCACGACCTGCCCTAAACTCCTCTTCTGGCTCATCTTCTGCCACTTCCTCCAGCTCATTCCTGCAACTCTACCCCAGGCCTTTGCCTGGAATGCGACTGTCACTTCCCAGCCAGGCACATTCCCCAGCTCATTCCTCCATGAGCCTCACCCCACACCCCACAGAAAGCTCACCCTCATTGCGCCACCAGGAGTTAGGCTGGATGCAGTGACTCAGCCCTGTGGACATCCAAGCTCCCCAGGGATGTTATGGGGCCACGCTGATGGCAGACGGCAGCTGTCTCCCCTGATCCAGGCGCCCTGCACTCCCACAGCACAAACCCTTCACCCACTGTACAGAACCACCTGGCGGCACCCTGGCTTCCGAGCCTTTGCTCCTGCTGTTCTACAGGCTTAGAGTGTCCTCTTGCTTCCTCTGCTCTGCCACCCTAATTCCTCATCCTTTAAGACTCTGCTCAGAGGTCTCTTGTTCCAGAAACCTTCCTTGTCCTCTTGGCCAGGTTGCCCAGGGCTGCCTCTGAGCAACCTGGGATTCCCTCCTCATAGTCCTGAGCATGACACTGTCATCACCTAGCTTCTGGCCATCTTAGCCTCCAGGCTGCAGCACTGGGGGAAACTTGAAGCCTCCACAGGTTGACCTTGAAGGGTCCAGACCAGAGTGGGCTGCTGCGCAGGGGGGCTAGTGCATATGGCACGGCCAGAGGCCAGGTCCTTAGGACAGGCAGTTGGTAGACTCTGTGGTAGCTAAGTGCTGGAGATTAGGAATGGATGAGGCCCTGGAACTCGGGGTGTTACAATCCCCATTTTTCACAGCAAGTCCTTTTGAAGAGAGTGTTGCAGAGAGAGGGGGACCAACCACCCAAAGTCAGTGATCTGCGGACTGAGCTGGGGCTCAGCCAGACTTCCTGACACCTGGGGGGCCTGGCCCTCCCTCTGCTCCTCACAGCAGCTGTGTGGCCACCCCAGGCCTCCCCTTCCCTGTGTGGGCAGACCCAGCTGCCTGCCTCACTCCACAGGAAGGCTTCCAGAGTCACTTGAGTTCAAAAAGGCTCCCTGGGGCTTTGTTCTTGTTGAGAGCGGGAGGAGGTGAGGAATGGAGGGGGCCAGGCCTGAGGAAGCACATTCAACAGCAGGGTGGGCTCAGGGCAAGCCTGGCCTCCGCGCGGGAGGACCAGAGGAGCAAGGGGAAAGCAGAGGCCTCTCTGAGTCACACAGAACTGTCCTCGAATCCAGTGTCTGTCACCAACAGCTATGTGGGCCAGGAAAGTCACATACTCTCTCTTAGCCTCAGTGGCCCTCATGTGCCCAAGGGAGACGTAGCTTCTTCCCACCTCACTGGGTGTGGTGTGGAGACTCGAGGTGAGGGCCCAGTGGAAGCCTGCCCCTCCCCAAGCCCTCCCCCTGCCCAGACCCAGAGAATTCCCAGCCACCTGGCCCCAGGGAGGAGCACTGAAGAAGGATTTCCTTCTTCAGTGAGACTAGACGCAGGTGACAAGCAGGTCTACTGACATGTACCAGTGTAGGCCAGTGCTAACGGCTGCCCGGAGCGCTCTACAGAGAAGGCCTCTAAGTCACAGCAGGCTCACAGCAGAGTGCCAGGATCGATTAGCGATGTCTGCTGTGGGCAAGTGATGCTGTTTGCAAATACCAGATTAGATGCTCTCTGAGCTGGGTGAGTCTAAGACTTTTGGTTAAGATTTCTGTGCTATCATTACTATGATGATAAAGGTTAATACTTATTTCAACACTGACCATGATAATGTTATCTGTGGTGGGCGGGCATCTGTTTTGTTTGTTTTGCCGACATGGCATCTCTTTATTGCCCCCCATACACACTACTTCTGGGTACGTCACCTCATTTTTCCTTTGAGGGACCACCCCTCCCTACTCTAAGTCCATGAGGAGTCCCCTCTCTCAGGCATTAACATGTGCCTTAAGCCACACCAATGAGGCTCAACTGTGGGACTCTGAAACTGAGAGGAAAAAGTGAGTTAGAGGTGGCCCACAGCCACCCTGCCTGTCATATGGAGCAAATCTGCCTGCACAAGGTGGAATTTGAATTCCTGGACCCAGCCCTTCCTAAAGTCAGATGTGCTCAGAATTTTCAGCTCTGTGAGCCAGCGAGCCTCTTGTCTTTTAGATCTGCACAGTCCAAGTGCTAGCCACTAGCCCCACGTGGCTAAAGTTTAATTCATCAAAATTAAATAAAATTTAAAACATTCAGGTTCCCAGTTGTACCAGGCACATTCCAAGTGAATGTGGTCCAGAAATAGAACATTTCCACCACAGCAGACAGTTCTATCAGACAGTGCGTCTGAGCCACGTTTCCATCCCTTGTGACTAAAAGTCTCGACTGATATGATTGTAGTTCTAAAGTTTCTCTGCTCCTGTGGTCTTTAGTTCCTTCCAGTCCTATTAGAATTTGTGGTTCTGTTTAGATTCTAGCTGACACATCTGTGTTCAGCTGGCCCTCGGTCCAGGGGCTCAAGGCCAGCCTGGCCAGCCCTGGTCTCCCAGTGCCCACCTTGGACCAGGAGTTCTCCTTGCTGAGCAGGTCGGCGTAGAAGTAGGCCATCTTCCACTGGCCCTTGTAGGTGAAGCACCACATCAGCTCCCAGTAGCACATGTGGTGGAACTGCTTCCAGTGCTGCTGGGCCTCACAGCATTCCTCGAACCGCCGGATGGCCTGCAGGCAGCTGCTGGTCAGCCTGGTGGGTGCCCACCCGGCCCCACCCCACCCTCCAGACCCTCCACGCCCTCCCAACTGCACAGTGGCCCCGGCCGCCTCCAGTGCGTGGTGATCCAGCCCATCACTCACTGCGTCAACATTGCCTTTAATGACTTCAATCCGCCCCGCAAAGAATAGGAAGATGGCGCCCTGCAATGACACGCACGTGGGTCCCTGTGGGTCTGCAGGGTGCTCATGGGCTGGGGGTGCCAGGCAGAGGGTGGGGCTCACCTTAGGGTATCGATTCAAGTAGGGCTTCAGGAGCTTCTCTGCCTCCTCAATGTTGACATTCCCAGTACCTTGAAGTGGGGTGGGGGGAGACATAACAAGTCACCTCCATTGGCTCCTGTGATCCAGCAACCTCCCAAGGGATTCCTGGGGTCTCTATCTCCCCCTCTGTGAAATGGGGATAATAATTCTTCCTATCCCCGGGCTGATGTGAAGATTAAATAAGGTAGTGCAGATAGCATCCCTGGCACATCACAGGGCTCAATAACCAGGAGCATATGTGTGCCAAGGCTGTGCCCAGAACCACAAGGGGCTGCCCACAGCGTCATCATACCCTCTACAAGGTGGGCACAACCATGCCCATTTCACAGATGAGAACACTGAGGCTGGAACCCAGTCACACTGTGAGGAAGTGAGCAGGCCAGGCCCAAGGCCAGTTGATGAGGCTCTGCTGTTTCTGGTTTCAGGACGCCCACCCCTAGTCCTGGGGGCCTGAGCACGGTCTGCAGCCCCTCTCCCTCTTGGCCCCAGGGCTCGCCCCACAGGGAAGCCTACCGAGCACAAAGGTGAGGAAAGTGTGGTAGCACAGCAGCAGCATGACACAGAGCACGGCGCGGAAGCTGTGCCCTGACGCGCCCTCCTCCAGCTGCAGCAGCCCGTAGTCCTGGGGGACGGGAGGACAGGCTGAGACTCCCAGAGAGGGCCAGGGGCCAGGGCGGGAGAGGCTGAGTCAGCGGTGTGGCCCTGAGCAAAGGGTGCCTCTCTCAGTGCCTCAGCCACCTTCGTGGAGGGAGGGGACATTGCTGCCAAGGCCAGAGCAAAGGCCTGGCCAGGCCTTGGCGTCCCCTACCCCTCAACAGCCACATCCCCAGTCCTCCCTGTGTGCACCTGCTCGAGCGCCCCGCGGTGGGCACCGAGGGCCACACAGCCAGGTCTGGCTGGGAGGAGCAGCAAGGAGGCCGATAACCCCGACCACAGGCCCAGGGCACAGATGGGGCCAAGCAGACGGCAACCAAGATTTTAGGCCTCCGTGGACTGGCATCAGGGAACACCAAGTCACCAGTGAGGGGTTTCTGTTCTCAGTTCTCCGTCTAGCCTTCTGACGGTGCAGAAAGCCCAGTCCTGTGCCCTGGCGAGTGCAAACTCTCACCCGAGCCCCCTTCTCACAGCAGCAGCCTGGGCCGACCACACGCTCCAGCAGGGCTTTCCTAAGATCGCTGGGCCTCACAGTATTGATTTTTGTGACTATGTTCTTACCACACCAAATAATATGGGTTTTCATGTAGCAATGTTTCTTTTCTTTTTTTGAGACAGAGTCTTACTCTGTTGCCGGGGCTAGAGTGCCGTGGTGTCAGCCTAGCTCACAGCAACCTCAGACTCCTGGGCTCAAGGGATCCTTCTGCCTCAGCCTCCAGAGTAGCTGGGACTACACGCATGTGCCACCATGCTCAATGTTTCTTTTAAATAAATTTCAGTAAAGATTATGAGTTACTTTTGAAAATATATATATAAATAATAATACAGAGGCCTGTAGGAGTGGCCAGTATCAGCAAGGGCTAGAGAAAGTGCACCTCGGGGGACACGTACTGGTCTAGAGAAAGCCCCTCGTATCACTTAAGAGAGGCTCAGAGGATGGAGTGACTTGCTCAGAGTCACAGGGAGAAGGCCGTGAGGCTGGGCTGCCTAGGGCTCCTGACTTCCAGGCCAATGCTCCTTCCCCCACACCAAGCCTCCTCCACCAGGGAGCCCTCCCTGATCCGCTGCCTTCAACCTTCAGTGAAGCCTGAGGGATCGAGTTCTCTGCTTCTCCCTCAAGGCATCTCCCAGATGAGGAGGTAGCACCAGAAAATGGCCCTGGAGAAAAAGGACTTGCTCAAGGCCTTGAAGTGAGGAGGTATCTGTGGGGAGAAGGCCCAGGCTCCTGATACCTGTCAAGCTCAGAGAATGTGACCCCAGGCCACTGTATACAGCTGCCCTTCACACCCAGCCTTACCCCAGAGCCTCTCCACCCTGTGGGGGCAGGCAGGTACCCATGGTCCCATTCGACTGGACAGAACCTGAGGCCTGGAGGGGTCTAGGCTTTGTCCCGTGGGCTGAGCCAGGGCTGGCACCCAGACCCTGCATCCCCTCAGCCCCACCCTGTCCAGCCCAGCTCCAGGCCTGGCGTTCAGCAGATCAGGGTGCTAGACGGCAGGTGGTTACCTTGTCTCCTGAAAACCCCACAAACTCCAGCAGCCGCAGGATCCTCGTAGGGAGCATGGACAGCGTCTGCAGGGAAGGAGGCAGATGAGCACGTGCAGAAGGTGTCCGGAGTAGGGTGGGGGCCTCCCCACCAGCTCAAGTCTTGCTCTTTTTTTTTTTTTTTTTTTTTGGAGACAGAGTCTCACTTTGTTGCCCAGGCTAGAGTGAGTGCTGTGGCGACAGCCTAGCTCACAGCAACCTCAAACTCCTGGGCTCAAGCAATCCTGCTGCCTCAGCCTCCCTAGTAGCTGGGACTACAGGCATGCACCACCATGCCCGGCTCATTTTTTCTATATATATTGGTTGGCCAATTAATTTCTTTCTATTTATAGTAGAGACGGGGTCTCACTCTTGCTCAGGCTGGTTTCGAACTCCTAAGCTCAAATGATCCGCCCTCCTCGGCCTCCCAGAGTGCTAGGATTACAGGCATGAGCCACCGTGCCCAGCCAAGACTTGCTCTTTAAACAAGCTTTACCTGGAGGGGGAGAGCACCACTTCTGCTCCCCCTACTTTGGGAAGGTCCCCAGCCACCTAGTGCCAGAGGTCTAAGTGTTCTCTGAGAGGCTCCACGAGCAGGCACGGCTCTTCCAAGCCTCTGTCTCCATTCACACTGTGCCCTCCGCCTGGAACGCCCTTCCCCACCTGGGAGACGCCTGGGGACCTTAAGGATCCAGCTCCAATGCTTACCCTACCCATGAGAAACCTTCTCCAAAGTCCCCCCAGGAAGAGGACTTGGCTCTCTGTCTCCTGTGGGTCATCAGCTGTTTTCGGGCCTGTCCCCTTCCCTGACACTGGTAAATGTTTAACCACCAGCTCTCCAGGGCAGAAAAAGCCCTGATTTACTCTGTTTGTCAAGCTGTGGTGCTGTCACGACTCCCACTGTGTTGGGAATGATAGTGGATCATTGGTATAAAAAATAGAAACCAAAGGAAAGGAAAAAATATTAAAAAAAAAAAAAATGACCCCACCGTGGCGGGTTTCAAGCTAACGACTTGACTTGAGAAGAAATGCACAGATGGACTCCGTGGAGCTGGCTCTGGCACGCACCCCCAGCCCAGCTTAAGCCTCGCCACAGGCCTGGCTCATCGCTGGGTCTCGATGCCCAGCACACGACCAGGCACGGTGGCACTCAGCCATGACCACGCGTGGGGCAGGGACATGCAGGGAAGATTTATCTGGAGCCAGACACTGTGGAAATGGGGGAGAGGCACCCCCACTCACCAGGTTGAAGGCCCCTACACCGAGCTTCACCCCTCCTTCGAAGTGCCTGTGGTTCTCGCCCTTGCAGTACTGTGAAGACTGGACGAGGCTGTCCAGCTCCCTGCGGAGAGATACCAAGTCTTGTTTCAGCCACTTGGAGGGGAGTTGGGGGGCCCAGTAAACTCCCACCCAAGCTGGTGGCCAAACTCCCTGGTAGTGGATTCTTAAGTTCTAGTGATCAAGAGCTAATATTCAAGGAATTTCTAACCCCATCTCCCACCGTGATAACATACATACTCCTTACCCCTGAATTTCAGCCATGTCAGCCCTAGTGCTCTCTGCCTTATCCAACTTCTGGGCATTTGTGCTCTGCATTGTCTAGAACAGGGTTTCTCAACCTCGATACCACTGACGTTTTAGGCTGAATAATGCTTTGTTGGGGAGGGGGCGGAAGGGGGCTGTCCTGTGCATCATGGGCTGTTTAGCAGCATCCCTGGCCTCCACCCACAAGAGGCTAGTAGCATCCTCTCCCAAGCTGGACAACCAAAATGTTCCCCGACATTGCCACATTTCTCATGGGGAGCAAAATTGCCCCCCCAATTGAAAACCACTGGGTGAACTCAAACATCCCCTTTCAGGAAGTCTTCCTGGAGTCCCTTGGTTGGAATTCAACTCCCTTCCTCCTGGTCGCCAACTGCCCAGAGCCCACAGCCCGGCCCCCATGGGGCGGGACAGAGGCTTCAGCAATGTGTCGGCCCCCTTTCTGGGCTGAGAGCATCTTGAGGGCTTTCGATCAGCAAGCACTGACTGAAGCTTCTCTCTGCCAGGCACTGGGAGCAGCAGGGAGCAAAGCCACCAAGCTGCTGCCCCCATGGCATTCCCACTCTAGGGGACAGACCCCCATCCAGTCACTGTGAGGGTGCTGAGAGCCTCAGAGGAGAAGAATCCTGGGGCCTGACCCAGTCTGGGGATCAAGGGAGGCTTCCTTGAGGAGGTGACACTTGAGCTGCGGTCTGAGGGAGGAGCTGGGCTTCCCTGGTGCAGAAAGAGTCTCTGACAGAAAGAACTGCACGTCCATGGCTCTGAGGTAGGAATTAGCCTGGCACATTTGAGGAACTGAGGGGACGGCCAAGGGCCTGTGGCGGAGTGAGGTGGGAGATGAGGCAAGGAGGGCAGGGAGAGCTCCAAGGAACGACGTGGCAGTGACCCAGGACTCGCCTCTAAGGACAAAAGGAGCCCCAGGGGTTGGCACGGGGTGGCCTGACAAGGTGTTGCTCTGCAGACATCGTCTGGAAGCTGGGAGGAAGACTGAAGGGGCCAGAGCACTTGTCTGGTTTTCCAGACAATTCCAGCCCAGGCCCCCGGGGAACGTGGCATCCACGTGCTGCACGGCGTCATGCCTCCACAACGCCCGGCAAGCGAGCTTGCAACATCTCTGCAGGGAAACTGTCACGTTAAATGGGGAAGATACAATGATAGATAGTCTCAAATCAACTTTTAATGGAAAATAAGTTTTAATGCAAAACTTGGCAAGGGGAAAACTGGGTTTTAAGAGCTTTTCTTTTCTTTTCTTTTTTTTTTTTGATTTGGGAATCATAGATAAGGCATTGTAGAGCCATACTGAGTAAAAGTGCTCTGGACTGAATCTTCATTCTTTCATCCAAAAACATGGCCTGTGCCTGGCCCAGTCTGAATGTCAGGGACCCAGAGATAGCATGGAAATGACCCTGGTCTCAGGGAGCTTGTGTGTGTGTGTGTGTGTGTGTGTGTGTGTGTGTGTGTGTGTATATACACCTCATCCTGTGTACTAGAGGGGTCGAGGGAGGCGTGCTGGGGAAAGTGGCATCTGGACTGGCCTTAAGAGATATGTAGTTCTATTGCTATTCCCTAAATGGCTGTTCCTGGAGCTGTCTCCCTGCCCCCACAAGACCAAGCTGTTTATGCAGAATCTGTGTCTTATTTTCTGCTAGCAGAGGGTCAGGCATGGAGTAGGCCCTTAGGGGACCAAAAAGAACAGAGACAACCAGAAAACTAGGGGAATATTATTCCAGAAAACTGAGGTCCTGAAGGTGCAGAAATTTGCCTGAAGTCACATAGCATTCTAGCTTCTGGCCTCCAGTTACTACTCTCCTCCTTCCACAAAGCAGCCTGAGGGGGACAGGGTAGTAGACGCCGTGGCCCCAGCCCCACTCACTTGTAGGTCTGGTAGCTGTTTCGAACTCTGATGCCGCCTTTGATGAAGCTCACCATGTTCTCATCCTGCAGGGGGGAAAGGTGCTGAGGGCCTGGCTCAGGCAGGTAGCTGCAGGCTTGAGATGCATCATACAAGGCTCTGGGCCTTGACTGCCCCTTCCTGTGCCCAAATCTATAAGGGACCCTGGGGGGATGGGGTCAGAGGTCAGTCAAACCAGGCTTCCCTAGTCCTTGGCCAAACAAACCTTCAAAATGCCCAGAGATGGACCAGAACCTCCCTTTACCAGCCTCTCGTGTGCATATACTATGTGCTCGGAGAGAGGCCTGGAGGGGACACTCTGGGTGGCTAACAGGGCCTCCCTCTAGGTGGCGGGACTGTGGGAAAGAAGGGGGATACTTTTGGTTGGATTATGGTTTTCACAACAAGCAGGTATTTATCACATTTATAATTTAAAGTGCCAATACCTACAGCCTGCTGGCAGCTCCACTCCGGGTGTGCACCCAAGGGGAACAGGAGGACCTGGGCTGTGGAAGTCACCTTCAAGGATGTTCATAATAGCCAGGAACCAGAAACCACCCAAACGTCCCACAGCAGCAGAACGGATAAGCAAACGTGGAGCATGGTGAGGCTGGGTGAGGGGAGGGAGTCCCACACAGAGGAAGCCCAACAGCAACTAAAGCATAACAACATGCTGTTCAGACATGAATATGAAGTGGATAAAGCTATTTTTTAAAAAGGGGGGTGGTGATAAGCACAAAACTCTCAGTAGTGGTTCCCCTGTAGGGAGGGAGAGAAAGGATGGGGAGGGGCCTAGAGGGCAAGGAGAGCTCCAGCCAGCGTCTGTCCTCCAACTGGGGGGATTGGGTGTTCATTATTTATAAAAATATAACAAATAACATAAAATGCATGATGTAATTATTAGAGTGAGCCCTAAACCAAACATTAGGATTAATCCATTTCTAATCACCTGAGGTCCAAAAAGACAGAAAAAGAGCTAAGAAAAATAAACAGCACCGCAACACTAATGTATACATGTCCCTCTCCCTCCAAATACATATAAATATACATGACGATGGTATGATGATATGTAACCAGGCTTTCTGGTAACATCATACAGTGATAGTTCTTGAAATTCCCACTGTGTGGTGAGGAGATCTGGGCTCCAACCTGGTCAGACCCAGGTTCAAATCCCAGCTCACCATTCGCCAATCATGTGTCCTTGGGAAAGTAACTCCTCTCTTCTAAGTCTCCCCTTTACAGGCCTCCGAGGTGAAGATTAAATAATAAATGTAAATGTTCAAAAAAGCAAACTGTGAGCTGTGTAAGGTATGTAAAAACTACACACCTGTATTATCATCAAAAAGCCTGGTGCATTATAGGTGCTACAGCATTTGCTGAACGAATCAGGTGTAAAGTAGGCTTTGTTCAATGCCTGTCACCACCGTGTGACCCTGGCAGGAAATGCAGCCATCGCGAGGTAGAAGCAGCACCCTGGCAACGCTCGGTGTGTGTGAGGTGAGGCCCATCCCCTCCACACGGAGCCTGGCCAGGCTCGGGAGTGGGGTTGCGGAGCCTCAGTCCTCGCCTGGATGACAAGGGGATGAGTCATGGCTGGACGCAGTGACTGACGTAAAATCCCCCCCTGCTTGTTTGAGCGGGGTGCTCCTACCTGCAGGAAGGTCAGGGCTGCTCTCTGCAGCAGGCACTCTGCGTAGCAGACCTCAGCGTGGATTTCCTCTGTCGGGAGAAAACCAAAGCCCCGTGGCCTCCTGGGACTCTCAGTAGGAGACCTGGGCCAAATCCACCTGACCCCATGTCCCCAAAAGCAAAGGAAGCCTGTGTCAGCACCTCCCTCCTCCTCAGCCCCGACAGCCTGGTCAGGCTCCTTCAGAGCACCCCCCACTGTCCCCAATCAGCTCACATCCCCTTCATCTTCTGGTCCCCCCGCCACACCCAGAGAGTCGGCACAGTCTCCTTATTCCAGCATTACTGTAGGCCAGGGGTCCTCAAACTTTTTAAACAGGGGGCCAGTTCACTGTCCCTCAGACCGTTGAAGGGCTGGACTATAGTTTAAAAAAAACTATGAACAAATTCCTACGCACACTGCATGTATCTTATTTTGAAGCAAAAAAACAAACGGGCAATAACACCCATATGTGGCCCGCGGGCCGTAGTTTGAAGATGCCTGCTGTAGACGCTGCGCGCCCAGCACCATCACATGTACTGTGTGGTGCTGGAACCTTCCAGGGCTCTCCCCTAACTGCTTGTGGTCAGCCACTGCTGCCTCCAGGACTGCCACATGTGGTCAGGGAACAAAGACATCCCACAGACTATGACAGCTAAGACCACCTGTTCTGCCATCAGCTGCCTCGTGCCAGCAGGTCAGCTGCTAGAACCACATCTCCCTCTGGTGTACACGCAATCACCAGGATGACTAATCAGCACACCTAACTGCACGCACAGCTCTAAGCACCCCTTGCCTGCAGACCAAAGCCCATGACCTTGTGACAGCTTTTCCTTTCCTCGACTTCCAGGCTCTCAGCCAGTCATGCTGCAAGGTAAGTGGGTCTCACCTGCCCCCCACACCCTCACCAGAGAGCCAGGGCCTGGCCCCCCTGGCGAAAACCGGGAGGACAACTGCCCTTCCTGCCCCTCCCTGGGCCTGGAGCCGGCCGCCTGGGCTTAGCAGGGGTGGGAGGACGTCCAGATGCCACACCTTCTGTGAACTGGCCCAGAGTGGGGCGGTGCACCAGGTTGCTGAAGGAATCTGTTACGGAAGACTTCCTCCGGTGCCTGGAGAGGAGAAAGGGGTCTGGGGTGAGGATGAGGAAGGGGCCACGCCTGACTCTGCCCCTCTCTGCCACACTCTAGAATAAACTCCTAGAGAGGCAGCACTAGCAGAGAGAACATAGGCTTTGGGGTGAGACAGAGAAGGTTTGAAATTCTGGCAAATGGTCTCTGAGCCTCACTGTCCCCATTGGTAACACAGGGACAGTTAACACCTTATCATCATGGGGGCTGAGTATGTAAAGCAGCCCCAGGCCAACCTGTCCCCCACCTAGCTGACGCTGTTGTCAGCAGTTCCCAGCCTTCCTAGCTCTGGGTTCCTCTTCCTAATAGAGGTCTCTTCGTGCCCTGCCTGGCCTCCCACCCCTGCCCACCCAGTCTTGGCACCTGCTCACCCTCCGTGTGTGCCAGGGAGTTTTTCCAACAGGCTCTGTCTGGCTGAGAACACTTACAGCTCTGCGCCGCCCTGAGGACACAGCCTGGGCTCTTGCTGTGGCCTCCAAGGCGTGCAGGCTCCTCCCCCTGGGTTCTGCAGACAGGAACTCCTGGCAGCTCCCCCAAGGCTCGGGCTTTCTCACACCTTTGCCTGTGCTGTTGCCCCTGCTTGGAGCCCCTCTCTTCTTCCCTCCACCCTGGCCAGCTTCCTCAGGCCCCTGTTCAGGCATCGTCTACCCCAGGAAGCCTGTCCTGCTCCTATGGCAGGACCCCCAGGACAGCTTGAGCATCCCTGCATCATGCCGGGATGTCACTATCTGTGCCTGCCTCCCTGACCAGGTGGTGCAGGCGTCAGACTGGCCCAGGTCTGATGATTTCCTGGGGCGTCAGTGCCCAGCACAGGGCTCAGCCCGGAGCAGGCGTGACTGTGTGCCCAGCGAGCGATGGCTCCACCAGTGCACAAACACTCAGGGTCTGTCAGTTCATTCTTTCAACCTGCAAATGTATACCGATCACCAATTATGCACTAGGTCCTGTGACTAGGGTCTTCAGGAAGTCCCCAGGATAACTCTATGGTGTTTCATCACACCAATTTTACAGATGAAGCAAGTTGAGTCCAGAGAGGGACTTGCCAGAGGTCCATGAGTCATCAAGTGAAAGAGCCAGAATTCGTTTTCTCCCAATCAAGACTGGGCCCTAGAAGCTGCTCAGTGACTGGCTTAGACAACAATTCTAAGGCAGGGCTGACAAGGACAGCACTTAGCACTTGGGGACAGAATAACTTAGCCACAGGAAGCAGCACAAATAGTGGCAATTTAGGCACAAGGATGGGCCAGGCTGACGAAGGGTGGGCCTCACAACCTCTAACCCTCGCCCCCAACCCCGTCCCCTGCCATCCCCAACCTCTGACACAGCAACTGCGCCTCCTTCATCATGTTGCCGGCAAGTAGGATGTCCTGAGGGTCAAAGGTCATCATGGCCTGCATCTCCAGGATGGTGGCATACGTCAGCGAGTGGTACATGCTCTCCTTGGTTCTGCCAGAAAGAGGGACATTGAAAGCACCAACTCCTGGAACTCCAGAGGTAGCTGGCCCTGGGCAGATCCCGCCACCCGCTCCTCCTTCTGCACGGGGGGCAGACGGGACAGAGGTCCAAGGATGGGGAGGGCCTTGCCTTTCACTGATCCTTTCACTGCTAGGTCTGATCCTTTCACTGCTACTCAAAAGACCTCAGATCCTGTTTCTAGCTCTTCTCCTTCCTGCTGAGTGGTCCAAGCAGTTTTCTAGAGCTGAGCCCCAGTTCCCGTCAGCTCAGCAGGGGTGGCAGCAACACGCTGCTGTGAGGACTGGAAAAGGGCTTGGCAGCGCGTGCGCCTGTGGCTGCCCTTCCCCATGCCCAGCGCCTGCCTCTTGCCTTCTGCTCCCGCCTCTGGCAGGCGGGGCCCAGAGGCCAGTGAGACCCCGTTGATTCCCTGGGTACACCCCATGCCCACTCCCTGGACCTCCCGGCTGGCCGGCTGCTGCCTCCCCCTCTCCCGTCTCGTCACCTGATCACGGTGCCCTCTGGTTGAACTCTCCTGCGGCTTCCACATCCCGCGAGACAACGCCTGGGCCGAGGCCACCGGTCGCCAGCCCTGCTCACCTCTCCAGCCCTCTTGTGGCTTTTGCTCCTCCCCCAACCACTCATCTGGTCACACTCAAGATTGCGCCCCTGCCCACTGAACCACACAGACCTTCCACAAGAAAACCCACTCTTTCCTCCTGCCAGCCTTAGCCCATGCCGTTCCCTCGGCCTGAAGTGCCCTTCCCCACCTCCACATCCCCCCGCTTGTCCGTCAAGGCCCTCGGGTGCCTCTGAGGCCACCGGGAGCCCAGGGCTCCTCCTCAGGGACTGTGTGCCTGTAACGGAGGCCCCACCACACTGAACTGATGGCAGCGCAGGCCCAGCTCTCGGCCCAGACTGTGGCGCCTCGAGGACAGCGCTTGTGCGTGACACATCTCTGTCCGCAGCACCAGCGTGTCAGGGCCGACCAAGATGGCCTCAGGAAACCTTCGCCCGCCACCCCAGGTCACTGCTCTACCACAGCCCTGGGTTTCTCAGCCACGGGGTGTGTTGGGGGGCATTTATCCTAACATACGGAGAGGGCAACAGGCAAGGAGGGATGGTGCCAACGCCAGTCCCTCTCTGCACTTGGGGGAGTCACTTGACATATCTGAGCCTGGGTTTCTGCTTCTGCAAAATGGGGATGGTGGTGCCGGCCTGCCCAGGTCCCTGTGGGCCAGTGAGACTGACCGGGGGAGCCCCTGCCTGGACAGGAGGCACTGGCACTTCTCCCTCCCTCCCCCACGGCCCATTGTTAATCATTCATGAAGCTCCTCAGTGCCAGGCGTGTGCTGGGAACTCCAGAGGAAAGAGATGACTAGGGTTAACAGACTGTTTTATTGTAAGATCATGTGACTTTGCTCATTTTTCTCCCTTTCTCATGCATAAAACACCTGTGAATTAAGTTGCTTTTTTACTTCTGGGTGACCCTCAGGTAGAAAACAGAGTCTGGTCCACCCCTCACCAGCCCTGGCCGCCAGCAGGGCCCCTCCCAGGCCTTTCCCAGGACCACGTAGTCTGGGGGCAGCGGCTTGTGGAAAGGAAGCGGCTGGCTTCAGAGCCCCCCCAGACTCAGGTTGGAATCTGGCTTTGCCAGTTACCAGCTGTGTGACCCTGGTACTTCTCAGAGCCTCTCTGAGCCTCAGGTTTCTTCCTGTAGGATAAATACAATAACCCTTCTCTCCCAGGGCTTTTCGAGTGGCTTAGGTAGGACACCAAAGCCAAAGGCCACATTACCAATGCTCAATAAATGTGAATCCCTCCATGTCCTGCCAGGATCAAGGGTCACTTTCCTACATAAAACCTTCTCCTTGCAGAGGGGCTTCCCTGACAGCACACAGACCCATCCCCCAGGCCTCTCCAACTCTCAAACCCTTGCCTCTCTCTCCTCTCCCACCGCAGGGACTCAGTGCCACTGCCCAGCCCCACCTGCTGAAGCCAGTCTGGTGCTGGGCCCAGGAAGAAGGACAGCCCCACCCAGGCAGCTGGCAGATAAAGTGGAATTTCTAGTCTGAGGCCCAAGTTCCCAACATGCACCTGTGGCTAGGAAGCCTGGACCCTCCCCAGCCTACCACCTGGAAGCCCCCTAACTCTGGTCTGGACTGGGAAATGGGGTACAGAGGTATGAAAACCCCCAAGCCTCAGACCCTCACGTTCTGTTTGCACCCCATAAATTCTTGTTTGCATATATAGCACCCAGACCTCTTAAAGCAACAGTCTCCTCACTCCTGAGCTGAACCCAGCTCTGGGACATGAAGTCCACTGGGGTCCCACCTTATGGGCCCAGATCAGCTGTCAAGTTGGGGAAGGTGCTGGAAGAGCCATCAGTAAAGCAGGGTGTTGGGGCTGAGGACTCCTTGGCATCTGGAGGGCAGCTAAGCCCAGTGGCCTCTAGCCCGTCCTTCCTCAGCTAACACCTAAGGTTCAGGCCTTGTTGGACACTTGTCAGCCATCCCGCCCTGCCATTGTCCCTACCATCTGGGCTCGCTGAGCCTGACCCAACCCTGCCGCTCCTTCCTGGGCCCCACCCACCCCAGCGTAGTCCCTTCCCAAGGCCCTCTCAGGGCTCACTAGGCCGAAGGCACAGGCGGCCCCTCTGTCTCTGCAAGTCTCTCCCCCTTCATCCTCACTGAAGCTCCCCCTGCTCCACTTTCTGGTCTTCTCAGACCCCAACTCACTGCCCCACCCCCCAGCCCCAGCTGCCAGGGGACTCCACACCCCCAGTCTGTCTTCCATCGCCCTGCCCTCTTCCTTCTGGGACCTGCCTCAGCTTCCCACTCCAGGCAGGCTGAGCATCTCCATTTCCTAGATACACAGACCTCATTCACTGCCAGGCCTCTGCCAAGCTGTTCCCTCTGCCTGGAAACATCCTCTCCACCTGGCTGACTCCTCATCCAGCCCATCTCAGCTTAGATATAACTTCTTCCAGGAAGCCCTCTGGGGCCAGCTTCATGGGTGTGTGATCTGTACCGTTGCACAGGGCTCTATACCTAAAAAGGCCCCATGCTTGGATTAATTCTCTGCTGTCACTTTCTTAAAATTCTTAATGATATTTGAATAAACAACCCTGCATTTTCATTGTGCAATGGGCCCTGAGAATTATGTGGCCTTCCTGACCAGCCCCTTTCCCACGAGTTGGGGTCCCTGTGCAGCTCTCAGCACCCTGGTACGGCTTGGAGCCTCTCTGAGACTGGGTTATTATTGCTTGTTGCTTATTGCTGGTTTCACTGTTCCCCTGCCAGATGCTGAGAACAGCCCACGTCATGCTCAGTACTCTAGCCCCAGCACTCAGCACACTGCCGGGCCACATGTTGCTGAATGAACTGGCGACAGTTGCCCAATCACCCCCATTCACCTTGACCTCATCCTCATCACACGGAATGGCTCTGCGTCTGGAGTTTTTTTTTTTTTTTTCCCGCCGCCATCTTCTCCCTGGAGTCTTAAAGGAAGCCATCCACCCTCCCCCGCCAACTCCCTGCTTTCCCGCACATGCTCATCCCTCCCGCCGCCACATCCTCCTACCTCCAGCCTGTCCTCTCCTCCTGACCCCTCAACTTAGCTTCCTTATGCCAGCCCCTCTCTTGGCAAAACACTAAGCCTTCCAGCCTTCTGCTACCCCCAGTTAGGACCCCAGTCCAGGAGCCACACAGCTGCCAGCTTTCTCCACGCTGCCTCCGAGCAACACTGGAGAAAGCTGCCCAGCACACAGACAGGCACACCCTGAGCCTGGAGCCACCAGCCCTGGCCAGCCCGTTTTGCTGTCCAGAAACACCTTTTCCCCCCTCCTCGTCATCCCCTCACCACAGCCTGGCCCCTCACTCTGGGCAGGTGACCTTGCCTCTTCCCAGAGAAATTCCAGGATGTGGCAGGGACACACCATGGACTTCCTCCCCCGCCCAACCCCACCCCAGCCACACAAGTCCCCATGCACACCCTTTCTACCTCCTGCACTCCCAGGGCTGGAGGAGGCAGGTTGAGGCCCCCCGCCCAGGGTAAACACCTCCACCCTGCCAGAGACCCAAGACAGCACAGCAGGAGTATGGCTCAGACAGCCCAGGGGGCTTAAATTTGAATCCCACTTATTAATCACAATCACTGATTCATCAAGAAAAATAGAGTGGCCTCCATGTTCCACAAACAGTTTTTAGGGACAGACAAGTGTAAGCAAAGTGGAAGTGGAGACAACGCTACTCAAAGAAGGGACGCAGGGAAAGCAAATGCCTGGCAGGAGGAGGGAGTTGGTAGGCCCAGCCACCTCCCTAAGGAGCGAGTGAAAGAGGGAAACAGCCCCCACTGCAGAGGAGTAGGACAATTAAACTAGACAATGTGTGTACAGTGAAGAGCAGTGAATGAAATGGGATCCCGACGTCTTTTGAAGTTTCAATGGCTACAAACAGGGAGGGGAGGCTGTGTTTTAGCAAGAATTATTTTCTCCATACCAGTGGTTCTCAATGGAAGTGGCAAGGACATTCAGCAATTTATGGAAACATATTTTAGTGTCACAAGGTGGGGTCAATTTTATCCCCTATGGGACATTTGGCAATTGTTGGAGACATTTTGGGTTGTCACAGGTGGTACTGGGGGAGTGGGCTAGTGCCACTACTGTTGGGAGGAAAGCTATTAAGTGCAAAAAGAAAGGAAAAAGCCTGTTCTGGAACAGGGCAGCGGTTAAGATAAAGAAGCCTCACTGCTTTGTATGTGAGGTAACAGGTGGCCTCATGGGAAGACTGGATCCCTAGGCTGCCTCCTTTAAGACATGGGTTTCCTTGCAGGTTTCCTCTTGGAGGCCTGAGCACTGTGGGACTCCTGGTAGAGCTCCCTCCGGAGGCGAGGAAGACCATGGAGGGGCTCAGAGGGAAGAGCCCTCTTAGGGACCCGGTGGTGGGGACAGTTTGAGGGCCTGGGTGCAGCCACGGCATCTGGTTTTAATATTTTCTTCTGTGGTCTGACTCCCTTGTATTGGCCCCAGATCTGTAGGACAGTTCAGAGCAGACCAAGGTGTGGCCTGGTCTTAGCTGGGCTTCAGGGAGGAGGAGAAAGGCCCATGTCTGTGCTTGGGGTGCACCAGGACAGGCTGAGCAGCTGTGGCCTGGGACAGCCAGTTTCTAGTGCCCAACGGTGGCTGTGGTCAGGGGGCCTGGGCCAAGTGAAGGACAGGAAATGACCAGGAAAGACATAGGAGCCTCCCAAAAATACCGGGAGGGGAGCCAGGACCATCAGTGCTGGAGCAGCTTGTGGCTTCACCTGCCTCACCTCAAGCCCAGGTCCCCACAGAGGGCAGGAGTGAGGTGTGGGGACAGCTACCACAGGGACTCATTATGATCGGCTCAGCCTGGAACCTCCACCCCCCACCCCAGAAGCTGGGCCACTGAGCCCAAACAGGAGAGCGAGGGGTCAGTGGAGAAACTGAACAGGTCGGGCTTAGGGACTTGTGCAAACCAGTCCTCCTTGCCTCAGCGTTAGCTGTTCCTGGGGGCTCAGGGAAGCAGGTCGGGCAGTGCAGAGGACAGCCAGGGGCTGAAAAGAAGGGGGTCAGGGAAAGCAGACAGCAGGCGTGAGCGGACCCTGGCCCTCCTCCCTTCCCCAGTCTCAGAATTCAGGCCGCCTGGGGTTCTCTGTCCAGGCCAAGGAAAGTGAGATTCTTCTCTGGAGAAGCTAAACCACCCCAGATGCTGACACCTGAGGGCCAGCTCTCTGCCCGCTCATCCAGAGCCAATCGCACCATTTCCAAGGTGGCTCCACCAGACTTTCCAGTTGGTCTCTGAGTGAACTTGTTTTTAAATATGATCAGACTGACAGCCAGAGATCAGTGGGTATCTGAGGAGAGCACCCCATGAGTAGAGGATATTCCCACCAGTAAACAGAATTCAGGAATATGGAGAAAGCCACGTTATGCAGGAAATGAATAAAACATTTTTAAAAGAGGCAATATTCTGTGATAATAATAGTAACAATAAATATTAGAGTGCTTACTATGTGCCAGGGCCGGTCCTCAGGGGGCAAATACAGATATAAAGAAGATAGTGCATAAACCAAGAATGAGATGTTACAGGCAAAAAAGAACATTCAGAGGATAGAGTACCAGGAAGTTAATCATATTATTATAGAAATAAGGAAAAGTCAACAGAAGGACTCAATGACAAGGCTGAGAAAATCTCCCAAAAATCAGAGGGAAAAAAGATGAAGAAATGCAAAAGGGCAGGGAAGTGGTTAGAAAACAGGCTCAGAAGAGGATTGCTCCAGGAAGTCTAATTCCTGACGGAAAGAAAGCCCAGGAAAGAGAAACAGAGGATAGAGGAATTATACAAGAAAACTTGCCAGAACTGACAGTCTCCACATAAAAATATGGAATAAAAAAGACCTTCATTCCACCACATCACTGTGAAATCCCAGATTTTCAAGAAGCAAAGAGAAGATCCTAAACATTTCTGGAGAAGAAAAAAGGTCACACACAAAGTAAAAAGAATTAGGGTTCTCACAGCTACAGTAGATGCTAGAAAACTAGGAAGCAATGTCTTCAAAATTCTGAAGGGAAAAATTGATATTCATGCAACTCCTTCTTAGGAAATTTCCAGAGGACATGCTCTGGTAAAATGAGGGAGGGGACAGGAGAGAAAGACCCAGGATCAAGGAAACAGGAGAGAAGCAAAGGGGTTCAGCAGCCGGCTGAGAGGAGGCCAGAAGACATGGGACAGGTTTCCAGGACAGCCTACTTGATATGTTTGAGCACTTTGCGAAAAACTGATGATAGGATAATGGGTTAGAAAGAGTTAATGCTAAATGTATAGCAAATTAGGCAAATGGAAAACCAAGACAATTATTAACTCCAGGAAGGAAACAATCGAATTCCTACTTTGTCTCTGCAATGAGCATTAATTACAAAGCACTAACAATGCAAACACTGATTATCAGTTTAGCCAAATACTGTGATATAATGACAAGAGGAAGATGAGGGGAGGGAGGTAGGGCAGGGCCATAGGAAAGCTAAATTTTTGTCTGCCCATAGACAATGTTTAAAAGTGGTAAGCAACACCATTACATAGAGGAAAAAGGTTAACAAAAAAGTGGTAAGTAAAAGAAGGAAAATTGTATGGTACAAGAATTATATCTCAATTTTAAAAACTGAAAAAAGTGTGATACAAAAAAGGAGCATAAGCACATTATTTATATATATTTATAGAAACAAGGTAGGAAACGCCAGAAGAAATGGCTAAATACGTAGCCTGCATTATTGCCCTAAAATGCTCAGTAGACAACCAGGTCCTTAGTGCTTTAGGGGGAATAAAAGGATCTGTGTTGTAGCTGACAGGAGAAACCCCAAGAGGATGCAGCAGGAACAGGAAATCTAAGTGTGAAGAGGCCTCACAGCAACCTTGGAGAGGGCTGTGGGATGGGGAGCCTGAGTCATTTTTATGAGACTTCTCAAGGGTCATGGTGACCCAGAAAGCTGAAGGCATTCAGTGACACGGAGTTCCTCTCCCATGAGACCTCTGGTTCTGCCTGGCCCCACATGCCCCCACCCCAACCAGGGCTTAGGCCTCACCTGGGCTTGAGGTAGCTGAGTGCTTCTGAGAACTGGTTGGTGAGGAAGAGGTCCAGGGCGGTCATGCACTGGTCCAGGGCCTCATGGAGGCTGCTCACAGAAGTCCTGAGGGGAGAGACACAGGGCGTGACCCTGGGGCCCCTCAAACCCCTCCTGCCCAGGACAGAGCCTCACAGGGCCCACTCAGCCTCCCTGGCTGGCCTTGGATGCCTGTCACAAGCTGCCCCAGGCTGCCCACTCTATACTGGGACACAGGGACAACCTGGACCCACGTCTTGGTGGTCTCAAGGGTGGGAGGAGGAGCAGAAGGGAGTGTCGTCTGAGATCTGACGCAGGGTGGGGGAGGGGCTGAGCACGGGGTACAAGGTGGCCTTAGGAATAAATTTATCTCACCTTCCGCAAGGGTAAAGGGAGTCTTTGTGGCCCTTCTGACCCATCGGGCTTTGCTGTCCCCCCTTGGGGGGTACAGCCCACCCACTAAATCCCTCTTCAGTCTCTCTTTCTCCCTCCTCCTCCAGGACTCCTCCTGTCCCCCAGGCCTGCATTCTAGAACCCCAGACATTGTCACAATGGGCTGTGCTGCAGGGGTGGGTGGGGGGAGCAGCCCATAAGAGCAGCCCAGGGCCTTTTGTACTCACCATTCTGATGGCACCTCCACTATATCTGAACCCTTTCCAGTCTTTATGTTTCTCTATGCAGCTTCTATCACACTCTGACATGATTTTTTTTTATTTTTTTTTTTACTTATTTTTGTGTTTAAGCTTCCAAAAGTAGGACTCTTGGCTTTATTTATTTAGTGCTGAATTCAGCACTTGGCATCTGGTACAAAGTACTTTTTTTTTTTTTTTTTTTAGAGATAGGGTCTTGCTCTGTTGCCTAGGCTAGGGTGCAGCAACATCATCATAACTCACTGTATCCTCCAACTCCTAGACTCAAGCGATCCTCCTGCCTTAGCCTCCCAAGTGGCTGGGACCACAGGCACATACCACCACACTTGGCTGATTTTTAAATTTTTTCTATAAATAGGGTCTTGCTATGTTGCCCAGGCTGGTTTCAAAATCCTGGGCTCAAGGGATCCTCTTGCCTCAGTTTCCCAAAGTGCTGGGATTACGGGTGTGAGCCACTGTGCCCAGCCCAAAGTAGGCTTTTCATAAATATCTGCTAGGGGAAGGAAGGAAGGAAGGGAGGAAGGGAGGAAGGGAGGGAGGGAGGAAGGAAAGAAGGAAGGAAGGAAAGGAAGGAAGGAAGGAAGGAAGAAGGAAGGAAGGAAAGGAAGGAAGGGAGTGAATGAAGAGGGTAAGGTTGGGAAAGCAAATCCCTGATTTTTCTAGGTCTCTGCTTTCCCATCTGAAAAATGAGAGATGAAATTAAGAGATCACTGAGGCCTATTTGATGGTCTTGATAAATACCTCCTCTCAAGGGGCCTCTTTTGAGTGAAAGAAGGTTCCAGAAGGAGGCTCAATGATCTCACTGAAGGGAAATCCTGCTTCCCAAAAGTTAGTTAAGAGAAATTCCCTTCTACACCAGGAAAACTCCTACACATATCTTGAGGCCCAGCTCTAACGTCTTTTCCTCTATGATACATCAGCAGATCTTCCCAGGCAAACTGAAACACATGTCCTGTTCAAAACTGTTCTTCCCCCAATCTTTGCCATTTTCAGGAGTGACAACCCTCTACCCAGTTCCTCAGGCCAGAAACCTGATAGTCATCCCTGCCACATCCCTCTCCCTGGCCTCCGTCATCCACTCCATCACTAACCGGATCCATTCTACTTCCCAACATCTCTTAATATCCACCGCTTCTGTGCCCAGTGCCCTGCGGTCCAGGCCACTAGCACCTTTACCCAAGTCTGTTGGAAGACTCCAGCTTCCACTCCTGCCACCTCCTTCCTATCCCTCTCTCTTCTCCATTAGATCTTTTTTTTTTTTTTTTGAGACAGAGTCTCCACTTGGTTGCCCAGGCTAGAGTGAGTCCGTCGCATCCCAGAACCTAGCTCACAGGCACCTCAAACTCCTGGGTTCAAGCTGATCCCTCCTGCCCTCAAGCCTCCCAAGTACTGGGAATACAGGCCATGCACACCATGCCTGGCTTAATTTTTCCTAGAGTATATTAGTTGGCCAATTAATTCCGTTTCGTGTTTTAGTAGAGATGGGGTCTCATTCTTGCTCAGGCTGGTTTTGAACTCCTGACCTCAAGCAATCCGCCCGCTTCGGCCTCCCAGAGTGCTAGGATTACAGGCGTGAGCCACCACGCCCGGTCATAAACTCACTTCTTTACCATCTCATTATTCACTGTTTGAGTCTGAGTAATTTATTTTATTATTATTATCATTATTATTATAGCATGAGACAGAGTCTCACTCTGTTGCCCAGGCTGGAGTACAGTGGCGTCAGCATAGCTCACAACAACTTCAAACTCCTGGGCTCAAATAATCCTCCTGCCTCAGCCTCCTAAGTAGTTGGGACTGCAGGTGAGCCCCACCATGAATGATTAATTTTTAAAATTTTTTTGTAGAGATGAGGTCTCACTATTGCTCAAGCTGGTCTTGAACTTCTACCCTCAAGCGATCTAGGTAGGGGGGCGGGGGCAGTATGCACATCTATACATCTGTCCATCAGGCTGTGCATCTTTCTCTCCAGGTAGACCAAGCGAGAAGAAACTCTTCCTTGGTGGAGAATGGAGGGGTAGGGGGAGAGGTGTGTATGCAGAAGTTGGAGGCAAGCTCTTGGCTCTGGAATTGTTCAGAGGTTGGCATAAGCCACGGCAATGGACTTGGCTTCCTGGGGCTGAGCTGATGGGCACTGGCTCAGGCACATCCTTGGATTAGAACCCATGCTTGAGTGTGTGACCTTAGCTACGCCACCTCTCTGCTGTGCTTCAGTTTCCTCATCTGCAGTGGGGGTAATAATCCTGTTTCACAGGGCATTTTGAGGGCTCTTGGAGAGAATGCCAGTTAAATACTCAGGGCAGTAGGTGCTCACTGCCTCTTCATTGATTCAGCTGACAAAGATGAATGGATTGAACACCTGTCACTTGGCTATGCCCCTGGTCACAGACAGACACTGTCCTGGACTCATGAAGAGGGGGCAGGGGCATCTTTGGGTGGTGATAAAATGATAAAATACAGAACACACTAGGAAACAAACCATTGAGAGCAGAGAGCACCAGAAACGGGACATAGCAGAATTCGTTTCCTTGAGAGTTCAAAATGCTAGCACTTATAAGATATAGAATACAGATGTGTTTAAGATGTATAAAGAAATTAAAGACAGACTTGAAGCATAGACCAAAATACTGCCCCAAATAACCAAACAGATTTGAAAAAGAACAAAGCAGAATTTCTGGAAATGAAATATAGTGGTAAAAAATTTTAAAAAATAAATATATAATCATTGAAATGAAAAACTCAGTAGACGGGATAAGTAGTAGATAAGATACACCTTAATAGAAAACTAGGGAAATGAAAGACCTAAAGAAATTACTCAGGCCAGGCGCAGCGGCTCACCCACGAATCTCCTGCTCTAGGCCAGGCCTGGGGTTGGGCTCTGGGAACCCAGGGGGACCCAGACCTGGGCCTGCCCTGGAGGACTCACACAGATGCAGACAGAGGCAGTAGCTGCCAGCTTGCTCAGGCTGCAACAGTGGGAATCACAGAAGAGGCCTCTAACCCAGCCTGGGCACTCAAGAAAGCTGTCTGGAAAAGATGGCACTGAATTGAGGAGAAGATGGAGGAAGAAATCTAAAAAGGGGAAACAGTATGCACAAAGGGCTGGAGGCATGACACCATAGTTAGGAGGTACAAGTAGCCTGGAAGGGCTGGAAGACAGAGGCCATGGAAGGTCGCTAAATGGAGGTTGAGGCCAGGCTTGCTGGGGAACTTGGGAAGGCTGGGGACATTGGTCCCATCTGACTTCAATAATAGCATTAACAACCAGCCCGTCACCACAAAGAGAATATCACTGCACTTTATCTAACTTGATGACTGCACACTCTTATCGGCATCTGACGGATAAGGGAAGGAAGGCTGTGAAGACAGGAACCTGCTCTGGCTCCTCCCAGGAGCCTAAGAGAAGACAGAAGCAACTGCACCAAACCTTTATCCTTCCCTGGCTGCAACTGAGGCCCCCACTTCTCCACAGGTTGTCTCCTTGTCTTCAAGGCCTTTCTGCTCCAGGGCACCTTGCCGGGCCCAGGCGACATATTCCTGTGGTGATGGCGGCCTCTCCACTGTGCCTTGGGGAACTGAGGGTGAGGTGGGGGGAGGGGAGCGCTGGGCTGGACAGTGCTGTAGCATGGAGCAGGCTGGTGACCAACGCCAGGAGCACTGTGGTGGGGGCTCTCCCATTCAGATCTCACCCACACTTGAGGCCCAAGTGAGGGGGAGCTGGAGGGTGGGAGGGGGTGTCAGGCAGCCTGTAGCCACCCCCACTCTCTCCTTCCCCCCACCTCCCTACTGCAGTTTGCCTCGCTGCTACTTTAGTGTCTCATGGGCAGAGCTGGGTAGAACTGGGAGACCCTCAGTCCCCGCTGGGGACAGAAAATCCCCCTACCCTGACCCCAGTCAAGGCGAGGCAGTGGAGCAAAGTCACTCTAGGAACAGACTGGAGTCAGAGTTGGATTTTAATCCGTGCTCCACCACTGGAGGAACTGAAGATGCCTGCCCATGGGGACCTGCCGTTTCCAAGGTGGCCTTTCTAAATTGCAAACATGATTGTGACTCTTTCCAAAGAGTCCCCTTGAGCTGCACATAAATCGAGTATCATGTGTCATGGAGCATGACTTAATGCAGCGTGGCCTTCAAGAGTTTGGAAAGGGGACAACCCTGGACTCGAGCTGCAGCTAGAGAAACTTGGGAAAGTTCTTTACCCTCCACGAGCCTCTCTTTCCTCATCAATGAAATGGGAATGACCGTTCTCACCTCCCAGAGTTGTTGTGAAGAATCACTAAGACCATGGAAAGGACAATAGGCAGTACTCAGAAAATGTTAGTGATCATTATTTTTTCTAAGATTATATATTGCCACCATTTCTTTTATCAAGCAGCACTGACTTTATAATAAAACTAAATAACTTTAAAAGATTGAGTGCACACATCCAATGACCCAGCAATTCTACTACCCTCACGAAGCGCAGATGTGCAAAAGACAACCACACAAGAATAGTCACCGAACAGCAAGACAGTCAGTGCCCATCAGAAAGGATAAATAAATAAATGGGGGTCACTACATGGGGTAGTGCATGAGCCATCAAGACTAGTGGGAACCAGAGCTGCAGGATCAAGAAGGCTAAATCTCAGAAATCTGGTGTTGTGTGAGAAAAGGCAAGCTGCAGGCTAACACATGCCGTAAGACTCCATTTATATAAAACTTTAAAGTAAGTTCAACTGTGGGACAGGGTGAAAAAAAAAATACAGAACAAATTACATATTAGATTTATACACACTCGGCAAAAGAATAAAAACAGGGAAATGATAAAACCAGGATGACAATTATCTCTGGAGAGGGAAGAGGTTTCCATAGCGACTTCAGTGCTCTCCACCACAGTTTAT